TAACTATTTGCACTTTCTACATGCACATGGTCAAGAAAAGGGGTAAGAACAAGCAAGACAAGTGTTCACAAGCACATCGTTAATGGATTGTACTAGTGTCCAATGAGGAGACAGAAACCACAGAGCAAATCCAACAGGGAATGTTCATAAAAAGAATTATCCTATATAATAAAAGGCTAATATGCAAATTTCCCCCTCGACTGGGAGTTCAACCAGGGGGCGGGGCTGGCATCCCCTCCCCCTAGCCGGCCCCGCCTCTGATCAGCCCCGATGGGGGCGGGTTGGCTGGACCCAACCATGCACAAATTCGTGCACTGGTCCTCTAGTTAATTATAAAGGAGGAAAGGGAACTATGGAGACAGTACCCAAGGAAGGACAAACTTGGAAGGGGAGTGACAGGGGTCATCTCCAAGAGTGGGATCTGATGGCTCGTGGATGGTAACGAAGTTGACCTGGGCCAGAGTTGATCTACAGTCTTGAAGCCAAGGCCAGTGGGAAGAAAACCATGGTTGGGAATGGCCACAGGAAAGGAAACGCCTGGCCAGAATGGAGGTGGGCTGAGGCAGGGTAGCTGCCTGCTGGAATGCCTGCAAAACCTAGCGGGAATCCACCAGCAGGAATGCCACTGACACTTGATAGGAGCGAGCGGCCAGTGTGTCCTCACCCAAGGGCCTCTGGCAACAGTGGAGGTGGAGCAGGAAAAGAAAACAAAGCATAACAGCACCAAGAAGAGAGGCCCCTTCCTCCTGAATTGTCCCTCCAGCGTTCTCCACTGATAGCATTTAACATGGTGCCCGCGGCAAAGGAGAAATCCTTACAGGGTCTAACTCTATTAAAGAGAAGGCATGAAAAGTATATTTGGAGCTGAGAAAAAATAAATTGGTAACTGACTTGCAGTGCCGTGTCCATGTCATCAGTTGGGTGTTACCATGGTCTCTGGAAGAACACTGATTGAGCGTCTACTCGGTGGCACAGTGCTACCAGGCACAGTGGCACAGTGCTAATGATGAAATGAAGAACATGGTAGACCCAAATCTCTGCCCTCCTGGAGTTTGCATTTAGGGTAGAGGCAGGCATAGATTTACTGAGAATAAATAAACAAACATAATTGGTGCTATGAGGAAAGGAAATAGGGAACCATGATAAGGACAGAGAAGAGGCCCTTTTTAGAATGGGCAAGTGGGAAGACCTCTCTGAGGAAAAAGGGACAGAAATTATGAATGACTTAGAGATTGGCAGAAAAGATTACTAGGTCTCTTGTTTAGTGCACCCTTCAAGTTATTCACTGCCTGTCGTTATCTTTGGACTATTTTACAGCTCTGTAAATTGTAGATAATTGAGAGCAATGCAGGTGAGTCTTGTCCATGGACATGCAAATATATTTTGTCGTGTGAAAGTGCAATTGATTTCCCTACCCAAGTCGCTCTTATGAGGAGAAGCCAGTTTTGCATATATTAAGCGAATTAATTTTTAACATTCAGGATGGCCTAGACATGTAACTGCTCTTTGGAATCTTCTTTTATTCCATTGCATCATCTTACTGATTCCCTTATTATTAACAAGTGAAACAAGTGAAGCAAAATATCTGACATGTGTTCATTTCATATTGATATGAGACTCATAACTTACCTTTAAAAAAAATAGTGATCCTTCCCTGGCCAGGGTGGCTCAGTTTGTTGAATGTAGTTCCATACACCAGAAGGTCGCCAGTTCCATTCCAGGTCAGGGCTCATGCCTGGATTTTGGGGCCAATCACTGTTTCTCTCTCTCTCTCTCTCTCTCTCTCTCTTTCTCTCTCTCTCTCTCCCCCCCTTCCTCGCTCTCTTTAAAATTAATAAATAAAAAAGTAAATAAATAAAAATATAAGATAGTGATCCGTTAACACATTTAAATTCAATCCCCCAAAGACTCTAGTGTTGACAGTCCCTCAGCCAAGAGCTACCAGCCTAACATTCACATTACATCAAGATGAATGAGCTGATCACACAGTCCACTCCTTCATTACTTATGTGTTTAAAACACATGCCAACAATCACCTCTGCAAGATAGAGTCAAGAGAGACTATGGGCTTTTAATTTAGAGGCTGACACACTTCTATCAAGGGTGCTCATGAAATCAAAGAGATACTGATATTCCTAACACTGCTGGCAGTTAAAAGAATGTTTAATAGAACTCTTCCTCAATAATTTTGAGCCCATGGCAGGGTTGTATTCACAGAATCCAAGAATTTTAAAATAGAAAACTTAGAAGTTATAGTTCAGTCTGCTCATTTTATAGATGAATTAATCAGGTCAAAAAAGCCTAGGTGATTTGTTAAAGATCAAATCTAACGAATCCAGTAATTTTCAACCACTGTGCTAAAAGAATTTTTAAAACATGCAATACCTGACTATTTAGTCAGGGGCACTGACCTCTTTTCCCTTAGATTGTCAAATAAAAAAATGACAACAGCAACACAATAAGAGCTGTCCCATGTGAATGAATCAAAATTATACCTATTTTTTGGGTCAGATTGGCAAAAGAAATATTTTTTGGTGTGCCCCAGAATTTTGTAATTAGTTTATATGTGCCGTGAGATAAAAAAGGTTGACAATTGCTGAGCTAATCAATGGTGAGCTGAGATATAACCCAGTCTCATACTCTTTCTACCACCATGATTTGGAGCCAACCAGAATTTCCCAAGATTCCTGACTATGCTCCCATTTTATTTATACTAGAGGCCTGGTACATGGATTCGTGCAACAGTGGGGGTCTCTTGGCCTGGCCTGCACCATCTCACAATCCGGGACCCCTGGGGGGTGTCAGAGAGCCGGTTTTGGCCTGATCCTGCAGGCCAGACCAAGGGACCCCACCAGTGCACCGGGCCTCTAGTATGCATATAAGATCTTTGATTAATCTCTTCCCGCCCTTCCCCCTCCTCACTTCCCTCTGAGATTCATCAGTCTGTTCCATGTTTCCATGCCTGTGGTTTCTGCTCCTACATTGAGCGACTGCCCCCTGGCGGTCAGTGTGCATCATAGCTACCGGCAGGTCAGTTGGTCGTCTGGTCGCTTAGGCTTTTATATATATAGATATACATACTTACTCTGAAAAAGAAGGGGAGTGGTGGTGTCAGTCAGTGAGGGATAGTATATGATGAGGAAAGAGCTTAGATTCAGAAATTGTCTTGTTTTTCAATTAGTTTTACTACTTATTTGTATTTCTGAGGTTTAGTGTCTTCAGCAAAGTGGGCATAAATTATTATTAAATAAAAATAAGCTGCCTCAAAAGATTATTATGAGGGTTAATAACATATATAAAGAACCTGGAACACAGTAGGTGCTCAATAAGTCATATCCTATATAATAAAAGCCTAATATGCAAATTGACCAAACGGTGGAACGACTGGTGGAATGACCAGTCGCTATGACATGCACTGACTACCAGGGGGCAGACGCTCAACAGAGGAGCTGCCCCCAACCCGCAGGCCCCAGGCCAGCCAAGGCGAGTGCCAGCGGGGGCCTCCTAGATCGCCTTGCCGGTCGCGCAGTGGGGGGCAGGGCCGGCCAGCGTGCAGTGCCAGGCCTCCAACCAAGGCAGGTGCCAGCAGGGCCCTCCCCCCACCCCCAATTGCCCCACCCGCCAGTCTCCCCACAGATTGGCCCTGATCACCAGCCAGGCCTAGGGACTCTACCCTATATAGGGAACAGTCTCTTAGATTTAAAAATTAAAACCTGGCAAGGCTACTCTAACACTGAAAAAACAGGATGATGGCAGTGATAACATGCATGGACTCTGGCTTGCACATTTTGTGGTCAGTCCTGATTCTGACACTTATAACTGTGTGACAAAGCCGATTACTTAACTTCTCTCTGCTTCAGTTTTTCCATCCAGAAGATGGGGAAAATGGTACTACTGCCTCAGAAGGACCATGGTATGTACTACTTTTTATAATCAGGGCAAAAAAATGTAGCTGCCCATACAACAGCAAGATGCCTTTCACCTGTATGAAAAGTATGGTCACTGGTGCATGCAGCGTCCCAGATTGCGAGAGGGATGTCCGACTGCCAGGCTGAGAGACACCCCCCTCACTCCTGTGCATGTATTTTCTGCACTGGGCCTCTAGTATATTTAATAAAGATATATTAAAGTAACCGTCTATATGCCATAAAAACCCTTCAGTCTTTGAGAAGTGCTCAGTTAACAATACTGACACTTTTGTAATAAATTAGCACTTAGATGTGTAAATGAAAGTTACACTCCCACCCACATGCAGCTGTCTGTTAAAAAAAAAATCCATCTTCATTGAATGAACATCGTAAGTCAACTCTACACAAATCAATATTCTCTTCCTCTACCTCCCACTGTCTCATTTGGATGCTTGAAAACAATTCTTAATGTCTTTAGACACAATCTGCTTACTTTTAAACTGCCTAAAATGAAATGAGAAACACTGTATTTTTAAAAGTACAAAAGGCCCTGGAGTAGGAGGCAATCCAAGCGAGGGCACAGCTCTATATGCCACATCCTCTGCATAGGTCATGGACCCCTCAGAATGGTAATTACCCAAGGCTCATCCCATTGCTAAAAACAACTGTTTAGTACTTTCTAGTGAACAAAGAGTTTTCACATATAATTTTAAATGCTCTTAAGAAACCAAGGAAAAGATGCTATGTCCTCTGCATGGCGACAAAAGCCGGGGTAGGGAATCCTCTCCAGACAGCCTGGCTCACTAGATGACTGAATTTATATTACTGTTATTAATTTGCTAGTAACCAAGTAGCTTGGAACAACAGGCATTTATGGCCTCACAGTGAGGCAGGCCAGAAGTCTGAAATTACTGTGCTGGCAGGGCCATGCTCCCTCCCTCTGTAAGCAATAAGAAAGGATCTGTTCCAGGCTGCTCCCTTAGCTTTGAGTACATAGTTCCTGGCCCTGTTGCAGCTGTGGGGGAGGAAAACACTTTCCTCTATCTACCCTCAAGCTTCTTTGGATGGTCAGATAAGACATGAGACAGAACAGCCAGAGAAAATAACCCAAATTTAATACGTACATATGTATGGGGATCCCACGTACATGAGAGAGTCAGAGACCCCACATGCACAAGAGGCTCAGAGACAGAAAAGGAATATTCTGAGCTGGGGTGAGGCAATGCACCTTGGGGCTTCAGGAGGTCACTGTAGGGAGGAGGAAAGCACAGTAATTTATCAGTAGGCCCTACCATATAGATACTTAAAAGCTTATTTCTGGTGATAACTCTTTTCATAGGTCAGGCTCCTGATTTAGATTCTTCTAAGTAGTGGAGGTGGGAGGCAGGAGTTTCTCTAGAGCAGTGGTTCTCAACCTTCTGGCCCTTTAAATACAGTTCCTCACGTTGTGACCCAACCATAAAATTATTTTCGTTGCTACTTCATAACTGTAATGTTGCTACTGTTATGAATCGTAATGCAAATGTCTGATATGCAGGATGGTCTTAGGCGACCCCTGTGAAAGGGTCGTTTGACCGCCAAAGGGGTCGCGACCCACAGGTTGAGAACCGCTGCTCTAGAGCCTGCAGGGTTCGTCTGCATACCACTGAGGCACATCTTGGGGTGACTAGCTCTGAACGCCCCCCTGCCCCAGCATAACTCCAATCTTCACATGGCATTCTCGTGCGCGTGTGTCTGTGTGCAAATTTACCCCTTTTTTAAGGACCTCAGAAAAACTGGATTAGGGCCCATCCTAATGACCTCATCTTCACTTGATCTTCTTTTCAAATAAGGTCACACTCACAGGTACTAACTAGGGTTTCCATGAATTTAAAGCACACAGTTCAGGCAGTAGCAATTGCCATATCCTTCTTCCTCCTAACCTTGCCAGACTCTGGGGGCAAACAGCATTCATTAACTCAGTCATTCAATCAACGTTTGAATGCTTATGTATCAGGTTCTGTACTGGGTGGGTATTGATGCAAAAAAAAAAAAAAAAGAACTGGATGGGGCCATGGTCCTTAACAAGTCACACTTTAGAGTAGTGGTTCTCAACCTGTGGGTCGCGACCCCTTGGGGGGGGGGGTCGAACGACCTTTTCACAGTGGTCGCCTAAGACCATCGGAAAACTCATATATAATTACATATTGTTTTTGTGATTAATAACTATGCTTTAATTATGTTCAATTTGTAACAATGAAAATGCATCCTGCATATCAGATATTTACATGACGATTCATAACAGTAGCAAAATTACAGTGATGAAGTAGCAACGAAAATAATTTTATGGTTGGGGGTCACCACAACATGAGGTACTGTATTAAAGGGTCGCGGCATTAGGAAGGTTGAGAACCACTGCTTTAGAGGGAATCAGAGACACATTATTATAGTATTAAGTACAATTTTCGAGCACCTACTTGCACTCGTGTTGAAGTAGGCACTTCTCATTGTCTTCTCAATATAATCGCGAGTGTGGTAAGTGATTATCAGCCTGCGGGGGGGTGGGGGGGGGGGGGGGTGGGCACGAGTATTTTTACAAATTAGGTTGCCCTGCATCTGAGTCTAAGGGAATGTGTAGAAATATACTAGGTAGGGCAAAGGTGGTTGCAGTGAGCAGCAGGTGCCAAAGAAGAGCATTTTATGGAGGGAAAAAATAGCAGAGTAAAGGTTTAAGAGCTGCAGATTGTAAACTGGGATTTTAGCCCATTTTCTTCTCTCCTGTATCTCCAGCACTTTGAGCAGTGTCTGGCTCATTCAGTAATTGTTGAATAAGGAATGGCATGGATTAGTCCAATGTCCTCCTGTAAGGTGGGCAAAGGCCGCACTAAACGGGAGAGACGAGGGCTCACATACTGTTGATATTCGCTAGTATTAGGGAATTACTAGAAGTCCAGGAATGCTTGGCACCCGCCCGGCCATGACTCCACATCCCCAGGGCAAGTTCAAGGGTTACAGCACCTTTGGAATGCGGCTGCACACTCCAAAGC